AAAGTATAATGCTATAAGTTTTATGAAATAGATGACTCCTCTTATGTAATTATTTTACAACTCTAAAAATTACATGAGAAATCTACTAATAGTAACAGCCTTCATGCAACACACATACACAACTACGGGGAGATAAAAACACTATTAAATTAAAGCTAAACAGGGGGAAAAATAAAAGACTTTCTTACAACTTACGTCTCCGCCATGGTCTGAATGTGTCCCCCCAAAATTCATCTCTTGAAATCTGAACTGTGAAGGCAACGGTATTGGGAGGTAAGGCCTTTGTGAGATGATTAGGTCACGAGGGCAGAGTCCTCATAAATGGGATTAGTGTTCTTAACAAAACAGGCCCCAGAGAGCTGCCTTGACCCTTCCATCATGTGAGGACACATTAAGAACATGTCTTTGAGGAAGTGGGACCTTGTCAGACACTGCATCTGCCAGTGTGTTGATCTTAGACTTCTCAGCTACTGTAATTGTGAGAAATACGTCTGTTGTTTATCAGCTATCTGGTTTATGGCACTTTGTTTTAGCAGCTTAAACAGAGTAAGGTAGTTTAAAAAATAAAAAAAAATTCTCATTGATATCAAGAGTTGAAGACTGAATTTTTAAATGGTCTCACCTCATAAAAATTGAAAAGGAAGAGGTGAACTGTATTTTCAATTGATATGATTAAAACCTGGAAAATTGAAAAAAGTAAATGAAAAAACAAACAATAAATGAATTCAGTAGTTTGTTACAGAATACATGGAAATCAGTAACCTTCTTATATTAAAATACATTGTATGTATATGTAGTTTAAAGTTTAAAGCCATATAACTATTTTATATAATTATAAACAAATTTAATTTTATACAAGTAATTCCTACCAATCTACAATAAAACAAAATAAACTTCAATGTATCCATAGAATAAACTTAAATGTACAGAATGACATGCCATCTATACCAAGTAACATAAGATTACATTAATTTGAATCTATATCCCTTGTAAAGTATACCCTAAAGATAAAAACAATTAAAAAAATCTTAATCTATTTTCAGGAAACATATCAGTAGTAACCATGTTTTGATATTGCTATTTAAAATTATTGTATCTGTTCTGTAATATAAAGGAAATGGGTAGTTATACTGATATCTTGAAATGAGATTTTGGCGTGGGAGTAAGGAGATACAGATATAAGGTAAATGGAGCAAAATAAAAATATCACAGTCCTAAAGTATGTGTGTGTCTGTGCATGTGTGTTTGTGTATACATATGTATGCATATACAAATAAAATAGTCTATTTATATATTCTACTTGGATCCTAAAAAACTTTAAAAGCGGCCAATCCAGGAGCAATTCAATCCCTAGCAACCAGGCACTCAGATTTAGTATCTAAATACATTTTTCCAGCATGGTTTTTGTTTTGTTTGTGAAGTAGCTGATTCCTGAGCCTAAAACAACTTGTTTTATCAGAAAACAAAGACAATGAAAGATAGCAGGGTTTGGTCTACATTTTCAGGAAAAGATAACTTCAATAGGCTATGAACGGTTTTCACATCACTACTTATGGTAAACCACAAAATATTTAAATGGTCAGCATGTTTAACACCATGAGTTCATAAGGTCATTAAAACAATCTCATTAGTCATCCTAGAGTATAAAAAAGAATCAGTTATTATTTTGAAAACTGGCAAATAAAATGATCATTAATTCAGCTTTTCTATACAAAGTATACTCTTGGTGAATAATAGATTAGAAATAGTTAATGAGGGAAGTTTCTTTTTTATAGAACTGCTCCAGCTAACATATATTGAAGAAGTGGAAAAAATTAGAATGTCACCATTTTGCTAACAACTAACGAATCAATAGATCTAATAACTGATTACCAATGACCATTAATATTACCAAGACACAATTGGTCATTATGTGCCTCATGATGAAAGTACACAGCATCACCTATAAAGTATTTTTGTCCCTCAGATCAAACCCAAATCTGATAAGCATCTAGATAAAGCTATAAGTTACAGAAAATGCAAGGGACACATTGCATTTTAAAGCAGCATATTAAATTACATCCACCTATGTACTCAGTAAAATTCATGCTTGTCAACACTGCAGAAAAAAATGACCCTGTTTCTTCAATAAAATACTGAAAGGAAAAAGAGATGGAGAAATAAAATATATATTTTTAAAACCATCATTCAATTGCAATATATGGATTTTATTTGGGCCCTGATTAAACAAAGAAATTAAAGGGTCAGGTATGATGGCTCATGCCCATAATTCCAGCACTTTGAGGGGCCAAGGTGGGAGGACCCCTTAAGGAGTTTGAGACTAACCTGGGCAACATAGCAGGACCTCAACTCTACAATGTTTTTTTCTTTAATTAGTTGGGGAAGGTAGCACACTCCTATCAATGTAGCTACTTGGAAGGCTGAGCCAGGAAGATCAGTTAAGTTCTGGAGTTTGAGGCTGCTGTGAGCTATGATTGTACCACTGCACCCCGGACTGGACAACAGAGTGAGACCTTGTCATTGGCAAAATGTAAATATTACCAATTATCAGATTAATTACCAATTAAAGATATTTGATCATCTTAGAGAATTACCTTGTAACTATAAAAAGTTACATGATGATTAGTTTTCTTAAAAGTGTACTTATCATTTACACATATATTCTCAACTATTTCCAGATAAATATTTAATGTCTGAAAATTGAGTTCCTTTGCATGAGTAGATGAACATATGTATGATATGTATACTTTATGCGTGACATTGTCTGCAATTTTATTTTAAAAATCAATATGATTAGTTAAAAACATCTGACTATACCATGCCCTTCCTGACTATATTTTCCTATTATTGGATATGTTACATTGGAAGCTCTATATAGATATATATAATTATATATATATAATTACATATATAGATTTAGATATGATGTATTATATATTATATATAGAAAAATATATTATATATCACGTATAAATATGAATAGAGAGATTAGGATATAAATATATTTTATATCTTGAGGGAGATATATAATATATACTAAATATCATATTCTTATGATATATGTTATAATATATTAAACTCATATATTGAATTATTATTACATTACATATTTATATAATATATAATTTTATTAGTATATTATATAATATATAATTATTATATATTATATAATGGATTATATATAATCCATATTATTAAATCCATATATATATATATTATTATATAATCCATAAATTCATATGGTTTGTATATGATTATACAATACATATAAATTTATTTACAACATTAATATTAATATAATATTATATGATAATATTTTATATATATATATTCTGAATGAATTGAGCCCAACTTCCTGGATAAATTTTGACAAATTTCTGAGAACACCCAAAGGCTGAGTATTATCTTAGGTACAGCAAAATTTGGTATGGCTTTAAAAACCATATATATATAAAATATTATATATATTATATATACAGTCATTATATAACATATAACATCTCCAATAATTAGAGAATATAGTCAAAAAGAATATATTTTTATATGGGAAGCACTACATATACATATATACATATATATGAAACATATATAGCTATAGTGTTTCATATACATAGTGCTTTCTACACATACATATAGTTTCATATATATATGAACAATATATATCCCAATTAAAAAGAAATGTATTGTCCAAAAATAAAAATGCTACAAAAATAAAATGTTACGAGCTTATTATTAAAGCTTAATATTATTTATAACAGTAAGCAAAACGTGTGAAAAATATTATATACCTCAAATTTACAAATTGACATAGTAAATATATATCATATTTAGTATAATCTCATAATATTAATATGTAAGCATCTATATATCAAGATTAACAATATCATTTATTAAATAATCATAATTACTAAATAATTATTAACTATAGGATTTGTGATTCTCATGAAGGATGGCCAGAGAGTAAATCAGAGAAAATAAGAAGTCATTCAGAAGAGGAGAGAGATTAAAGTTCTTCTGTGATATCAGGAAAAATTACCAAAATAATATGTTTATATATAATGGGGTACAAAAAGAGAAATAGCCACCAACATGTGATTTTGCTATATAAAACTTTTATAAATATGGTCAACTAATAAGGGTAGCTCAGCATTGTGGAAATAGTCTCTACATCTGGGTTTGCCATTTAACTATGTCACCTGAACTGTGAGCCTCGGTTTTGCAATAGTTGAATGAAAGTAATAACACTGATGATAAAATGAAACAATGTATATAGGACTCAATAACTAGTATTTAGTGTCTTTGTAAACCATCTAGAATTTGTTTATTTGTGACCTGCAAATAGAATCCATATTTTTTCTTGGGGCCAGTGTCAGCATATTGTCACACAAAAATAAATAAAACCACCACCACTAGGCAAACCTCACAAAAGTACTGATGAGAGGGAACTTTTCTGAAGGATTCCTGTCAATACTAAAGAGAGGTTTAAAAGAACATGGCACGCAGTCTACTGAAACACATTTTAAATGCTTCTATCCTAAGTTCTATTATTGATGCCAGCAGTTCAACTCTCCCCTTCTATAAATCTAGTGGTCCTGTGCCCTTTCCCTCAAGGGTCACCCGCACCATTTCCTATTTGGAGATGCTTGGATTCTGTTCTCTTCCCAAAGGCCGTTTTCCACCTCACCAAGGGTACCAGTAGCCAATATACATCAAGTTTTTAGAAGGCAAAGAACATAAGAAAACTTGCCAGACACCCGCACTTTATTTCCTTCCTATCATGACTAATTACCAACTTATATTGCAACTCTGATGCAGAAAAGTAAATATGACTCAGAATACCTGTCAATTTTTATTTACAACATGAAACTATGCTCACTCATGTTAATTTATTTTATATATATAGAATTACATATATAGATTTAGATATATTATATATAATATAAATAGAAAAATATATAATATATATCATTTACATATAAATATGTATAGAGAGATTAACATACAGCTGTGTTGTGATTACACAGCACAAGAAGACTGAAGCAAGAGCAATGTGGCGTGAGAAGGGAAGAGAGTGTCGGCAAACTGAGACCACAATTCTGAGTGAATTGAGCCTAACTTGTGAATAAATTTTAACAAATTTCTGAGAAACTCCCAAGGCTGCGTATTACCTTAGGTACAGCAAAGTTTAGTTTGGTTTAAAAAAAATCTTTTCAGCCATACCTCCCTGTGTGTCTTATTGTGTCTTATTCAAACTCAAGATAGCCTTGTCTATGCTCTGGAACTTCTTCATGACTTTATCAGCAACTGCCACTCTGTGCTTCCTTCCATCGTTGTTAAGTCTTTCCTTCTTATTCAGAATAGTGACCCAGAAGAAAGTAGCATAAAAACTCTTCCTCTACTGAATGCATCAGACTTGTCCAACTCTATATTGATTTCCACATTTTTCCTTATTTTGTTATAATTCTAATAGAGACCTTTGATTTCTCTTTATTCTGTTGGTTCTACCTCTCCACTGATGACACTTGCTCAGCTCATCCATAGACTCAGTAGACAAGCAGCATGAACTATACTCCTCAGAAGAAAAGGGCCAGGCACGGTGGTTTCATGTCTGTAATGCCAGTACTTCGGGAGGCTGAGGTGGGAGGATCACTTGGTATCAAGAGTTTCAGGAGAGCCTGAGTAACATATATGCTGAAGAAAAAAAAGAAATATGTATATGTATATATATGTGTGTGTATATATATATATAAAATTTTGTTCAGGTAAGTAAAGAATATTGATATTAGTATTAGTATATAATATCTGAATATTTGACATATAATTTTCTGTGGAAAAATAACAATTTTTTCAATGAAATATTTACTGGGTGGGTAGCATGTTTCACAGACTGCAGAATAATTGAGAGGAATGGCACACACTTGATCAGTGCTATGAAAAGCCCTGGGTGCCTGGATAATTTACCACTAATTGAAAATGATTTTCTGTGTATGTAACTCATCAGTAGCATCATTTGGAAATAGGAGGCAATAACAACTATAAAGCTAGGTACCTACTGTCATATGCGAAGGATGGGATTAGATTTTCTAATTTAGGTTTGCTCACCATTTCATTCCTCTTGACAGCCATAAAACGAAAGTAGCACCATTCTCATTAGATGTATCTAGGAAAAAACAACAGAGTCACAACATGAAACAAATGGAGACTTCTGTAAAACACTCAGCTCCTCATCAGTTAGTGCAAACAATCTATAAACTACAATCTATGAACCTACAGTGGCATGGTATGTCAGCAAATAAGCATCGTACATGTACAAATGTAAACTTACAACAAAGTTTTAACCACCCAAGAGGTTCACCTTGCCTGCTGCCTAGATGGAGCCAATTTATCAAGACAGAAGAATTGCAGTGGATAAAGTGTAATGCATGCAGAACCAACTGTGCAGGAGTTTTATTACTGGTCAAATTGTGTCCAGAGTTGGTTACCTCCCATGGGTTCTTGGTCTCACTGACTTCAAGAATGAAGCCGTGGACCTTCGCGGTGAGTGTTACAGCTTTTAAAGATGGTGTGTCCGGAGTTTGTTCCCTCAGATGTTCAGATGTGTCCAGAGTTTCTTCCTCCCAGTGGCTTTGTGGTCTCACGGACGTCAGGAGTGAAGCAGCAGACCTTCACAATGAGTGTTACAGCTCTTAAAGGTACCACAGACCCAAAGAGTGAGCAGCAGCAAGACTTGCCAAGAGTTAAAGAACAAACCTTCCACAGGCTGGAAAGAGACTCCAGCAGCTTGCCACTGCTGACGCTGGTGGTCAGCTTTTATTCCCTTATTAGGTCCCGCCCACATCCTGCTGATTGGTCCATTTTATGGAGTAATGATTGGTCCATTTTACAGAGTGCTGATTGGTGCATTTTTACAGAGTACTGATTGGTATGTTTATAATCCTTTAGCTAGATACAGAGCACTGATTGGTGCATTTAAAATCCTTTAGCTAGACACAAAAGTTCTCCAAGTCCCCACACCACCCAGAAGCTCAGCTGGCTTCACCTCTCAAAATCAGTCTCCCTGAGCGTTCATTGATCAGAGTTTTTAAAGATAATTTGGCGGGTAGGGGCTTGTGATGTGGGGAGTGCTGATTGGTCAGGCTGACGATGGAATCGTGGGGTTAGAAGTGAATTTTTCTTGCTGTCATCTGTTCTTGAGTGGGATGGCAGAACTGGTTGAGCCAGATTACCGGTCTGGGTGGTGTCAGCTGATCCATGGAGTGCAGTGTGTGCAAAATATCTCAAGCACTGATTTTAGGTTTTACAATGGTGATGTTATCACCACAAGCAACTTGGGGGGATTCAGACCTTTGGAACCAGAGGTTGCATGACCCCTAAACTATAATATCTAATCTTGTAGTTAATTGTAGTCCTGAAAAGGTGGACTGATCCCAAGTCAAGAAGGGGGCTTTTCCCGAAAGGGCTAGTATCAATTTTGTTTCAGAGTCAAACCATGAACTGAATTCCTTCCCAAAGTTAGTTCAGCCTAAGCCTAGGAAGGAATAAGGACAGCTTCAAGGTTAGAAGCAAGATGGAGTTGGGGTTGGTTGGGTCTGATTTCTTTCACTTTCATAATTTTCCCAGTTATAATTTTTGCAAAGGTGGTTTCAAAGTCAGTAGATCGATGTTAGTGATGGTAACTAAAGAGAAAATGCAACACAATTTTTTTCAATTATAATGTGATAAATTTAATTACTAATTTTTGAAAGAGGAAAACATATGCAAAAATAATTTTGTGTATAGATCAATAGTTTATTTATTCCCTAAATTCAATGTTTCAATAAATTAAGAAGAAATTCAAGCTATGAAAATTAGAAATGTGGTTATTTCTATGAATAAAATAGTTCCTCTTGAAATTTCTGAATTTGGAAGTCAAATTCTTTAAAAGTTCTATTGCCTGCTTAGGAGGAGATTAAATTCTCTCCATTACTTTTATATCCTACATAAAACTAACTGAGATGTTTTTACTTTCTCTTATTACTTTTCATTTCATTTCATTTTAGATGTATGTGCTTTTTAATCTCAGCTTTTCTGAAACAAGATACATATGTTCTCACAGGAGTGAAATAAGAGACAAGAATGAAGAAACATTTTGCAGAATTGGTGATGCAGTCATCTTTTGACGGGCATTAGATAGCACAACAGAGTCATTGTTATGTTTTAAGTTGTGCATTTTCTGTAACATGACTCACCAAAGAGTTGCTTTTCTATAATTCTTGTTCCTTTTTCTAATGATAGCTCATATAAATCACAAAGGGTACCTTATTAACATGCTTCAGCAAGGACATTTGACAGAGAAAGGAGCAGCCCTCACAGAGCACACCACTGTACTCACATTAAGTTAACCTGAGAAGGGTGGAATTTTTTCAGATGAATTTCCCCAGTTAATGGTCCTAAAAGGGAAAAACCACGACGTTTTAGAAAAATCCAGGAAAGTGGGCTTTTTAAAATACAGTGGAAAAAATTTTACATTAACATGCATCTCTAAAGATCCTGGCATTACAAATGCAAGCCCATTGTTTGTGTACTTCTTTGGCAAAAATTAAATTCTCTTTAGTTTGGGGTAAATATGTAACTAGTATTTGTGATAACATACTGCTTCAGCCTTCACAAAATGCTCCCACAGACATTACTTTAACTAAAATAATTAATTAAAAAGTCAAATTATCTCTATTTTAAATGAAAATTGTACAATCTTCATTTAAAATAGAGACAATTTAACTTTTTGGCATAAAGAATCTGAAGCTCAAAAGTCTTATGTTGTTTGGCCAAAAGAGGAGCCTTCCCCCTCCATTTCCTTTGTTCTTCCCATTCAACCCAGCAAGTCTTACTTATACTTAGCATGTGGGCAAGGTTCTCTACAAACGAAAGGCTTGAGATTCATTTTATTAATAAATTTGTGCTAAGTAAAAAAAAATATTCAATGTGAATGTTACCAAATTGTGGTGTTAGGAACATTTAAATGACTAGGGTTAGCTACTTTAACTGCAATAGAAAAAATAGTTTTTATTTAAAAAATTTCCAATTGCAAATGTAAACAATTTGGCACAATTGAAGGCAAAATATAGTTTTAAGTTCCTAACCTAATCAAGAGATTAAAAAAAAAAAAAAACTGAGGTTGATACTATGGTTTAACCACAAAGAAGTCATAGAGCACCATATTTTACCTCTTTCTACCTCTAATACATCAGTGGAAAGTGTAAAATATTCATTCACCCTGGCTGCCTGAAAAGTAGAAGTAACTGGAGAATAAGTTTTGCCCAAGATATGTGAGTAAAAGTCACTGGGTAGGGGTTCCAGAAAAGACTTTAAAAAAAAAACAGATGAAATCAGCTGCTTACCTTTACTTGCCCCTCTTCCATGTGGAATGTACATGCAGTGTTTGAGAGTATAGGATCATTTTGTGACAAGACTGACAAAAGTCCCATGTACAGAATGGGCAATCAGGAAAATGAAAAAATCTGTCTTTGAACAGTCAGTCCAGGCTCCATATTCAATGGGATATATAAATCTTAACCTTTTCAAAACCACCTTTATATAGGATTCTTGTTATTTGAAACCACAATGAAATTTTAACAAAAACAAAATGTGAAATTTTAAATTAGTATGAATAATTTTTTTAAAAGAAATAAAGAAAATATCAACTTTAATAAGTATAAAAGACATAGGAACCTGAGAGGCAAAGTCTTGCCAATTGCTGCATAGAGGAGGATATTGATTCTTCTTATATGAAGACAAAGCATTCATTCGGTCTAACTATGATCTGTTATAGACCACATGCTGAATCTGATTGTAACTTTTATGAAAATAAGAAAAATTCAGAATGACAGCCTATGCCAATTTCAACAAATTCCTCCAAGAAATGGTGGGCCTTCCAGATTTGTTCTATCAAATTTGCAAATGGTAATAGAGATGCTCCTTGTAGCTGCAATCGATGTTGACTGATTGCTGTAATTTGGAGCCCTGTTTAAAAAGGCAAACTTAGGTTCAGGACAGGTGAATCAAGAAAACAGGAGTCTGTGTATTTGAACAGATTAGAACCTGCAGATAGTGTCAGTCTTACAGGGAGCAAGACAGCCTCAGGCATTTCTTTAGCTTGCTAAAGTGCGCTGCCATTCAAAGGTTTGGAAGTGGGTGGCAAAAATGGAATTAAAAATTTTGCCTCAGTAAAACTGCATGAAAGAAGTTGCATCAAACTAAAATATGGGTGGAACAGAAAGGCAAATGCCCAAGAGCCAAAGCCTCTGACCTTTAAAGAGAAAATACAGATGAAATCTGTGAGTAGTTTCTCATAGATATGACCCCAAACAATTTTACTGAGCACTTACTAATTTTAGGGAAAGCTGAATTGCTAAATAATCACAAATGTAGACCTCAAGAGGCAGGGAATGTTCAAAATTGAAGACAAATTCCAATCCCCCAAACTCAGACTAAGAGGGAAAAACATGAGAGACCTCCATAGCCACTAGGAATACGTCATCCCCAATGTCACCTCAGATATCACCCAGAGATATCTTATAACTGATAAGGAAGTTGTTTCCATTAGCACAATCAAGATCTCACTGATTTTTTTTTTCCATTACCAGAGCAGAATTCTCTCTATTCCTAAACAGCAGGATTTGATTGTAGTTATAGTTAGTATGTTTTTAATGTCCAATCTTTCCTTTCTGAGTGGGATTTTTTTTTATTGCTCATATTTCATGGCTCTCTATCAGTGTATATTGCATGCCTTAAAGCAGATAACTTGTCTTTTCAGCTTATATGCTATTAGGTCATTTTCACATCTACAGATATGGGCAGACCAAATGCACATCATCCAGATATTGTAAGCTTGAAGCTGGATGCAATACCTGAATCATACTTTTGGGTGTGTCTCTTGGGAGTGGAGGTGAGTGCATAAACTATTAAATAAGAAATGCAGTATATTTGGATATTAGGTGGTAAAGGGACTGGCAGACATGGCAAGTTACTTCTTCAAAAGGCATTGATAGTTCACATTTTTCTTGCCTTACTGTAGCATCTACAAACTTTTCCAATCTATCATGTGACTATAAGTGGTCACGAGATCCTGTTCTAGACAATGGGATGTTTGTTGAAGCAATCTTCTGACCATAAGAACAAACA